ATAGCATAGCTGAACGAAGGGCCGCTTAAGGTGGTTGATTGGAAAGGAAGATTTCGTGGCTGCATGGCAGCATTTCGTTCCGTCCGTATATGTGTCATGATTCTAGCCCCCTTGATACTGATCATTCTGGCACTTTGTCTCAGTGCGTCGAATAGTCGTGTAGTATTAGATTGCGCGGACGGCAAGTGTCCAATCCTCAGCTTGCGGAACCTTCCGAGCATTTCCATTAGTGACTACCGTATCACTAGGTGCGATCTTAGTTCGTTAGTGCAGAGTCCGACGTGAGATATGCATTGTCGTTTCGGTCCGTAGATCTTGATGCTGCGACGATGTGTCGGGTAATACTCGCCGAAACTGGATGGTCCGTAAGTCAGCTAGCGTCGTTCGCAGATGGAAAGAGGGGCGAAGGGGACGAAGGCAAGAGACCTGGTGTCTTTAGTTTTAGCCTGGAGGGAGGTGGTCACAAACAGGGCGCAACGAATCTCACACGGCCTTTTGAAGGCTCTCTTACCTGTCAATAATGGGTTGGAATTGTAGCATAATGTCGGATCTAACGAATGAATGAATATCAAAGTAGGCCTAAGAGAACGGAGTAAACCCGAGGGCAAATTTTCCGCCAGGAATGGCTTTTTCTTATCTCCATGATCCTTCAAACCCTCGCCAAATCCATTCGATTGAAGCGCTGAAGGACCAAGTATCTGCACTGGCCATGAACCTCACTCGTGCTTCACGCCAATCCCCAGTCACCGGTATTCTTCAGATCCTCATTGAAAATACCAGACTTCTCCTTTTCTTCCTCTTCTTCGATACTCCAAGGTTGGATCTCATGGCCCACAGGCAAATTGGTGTTCTTGAATGTTTTATCAAGTCTGATTGCCGTACACGCCTCTACAAAATTCTCTGTGGCATACTTTTCGGCATGGTGAGTCCAGACCCATTTTCCGAGGAGCATGGGCTGCCTTTCATCCTTTAGGATCTCGTTCATGTCGCGGTGGACCTGACGCCTGTTGACGAAACCATTGTGTTGCAGAAGCGAAGTACGCTCATATCTAGGACAAAGTGATTAAAAAGGAGGCCGTGCATGATGTAAACACCTGCCAACATACCTGAGAAGCTGGTGAGCTCGAACGGCAAGAGGTATGTGATCTTTGCCTCCCAGTCTTAGGCACTCGGGAAGCGACATGGCGTCCTCAAGAGCCATAGATGCCCCGTTTCCAGATGATGGGATGAAGCTATGGGCTGCATCACCGAGCTGAATGATGTGGCCACCCTCGGAGTGCCATTTTGGTTGGGTGTTACGGCAACATAGCTTCCACCGCACAACAGTATTGGGTGGGGTGCTGTGAATCGCCTCCATGAGAACCGGATCCCAGCCCTCCTTGTCGGGCATCACATCTGCCGTCTGTGCAGGGGTTACGGTCGATGACCAGGATTCCACAGCCGTGCCATCGTCCTGTGTCTCTCGTGTTAGATTAGAATGAAAGGTGTGCAACAACACCTACCTTGTGCGTGATGCCGAGAAAAATGTGAGTCTTTGACAAGAGAAAGACAATATACATATCAGGGCTGGTGTTCTGTCAGCCAAGCCCTTGATTTAAGTAGTGACTTGAGACAAGACTCACGCTGTATACATGCGCATCTGAGGTCGTTGGAGTTCAGCAATCGCTTTTTGCAGAGCAGGAGCATCTTTGATGTGGTCGGTCGAGTACATGACACGATCAGCACAGTAACCTGTACTCACTGCGCGAACCGGCTTGCCCAAGGTCACACTGCAGCTCTTGGAGCCGATGCCGTCTGCCGCTATCACAACATCCCCGGTGAAGCTGCGGCCATCTTCGGCGTGGGCGGTGGCACTACCCTCTCCATCTTCCGAGTAACGGGTGATGTCTACACCATATGTCACAGGAATCTCCAATCGCTTGCATTGACTAAGAAGCATCATAGCAAGATCTCGTCGGCTGACAATCGGCTTTGCTCGGATGGGCCATATCACATGTGTGGCAACTCCCGGAAGGTGATGCTCGACTTCAGCCTTCGGCACAGCGAATCGTCCGTCACGGTGACAGAAGCATGCCTCGGGGTCAAAGGCGAACTGATCCCATTCCTGGAGCATCTTAGGATACTCCTTCAAGGTGGCATAGCTGTTAGGCCCGAGTCTGATAACATCACCTGGGCGGCATATTATTAGTTCAATTCCAGCGGAAAGGAAGCCTCAAGGTAATCACGTACCGGCCTCGGAAATCGCCTCCCCCTTCTCAAGAATTCGAACCTCATGACCCTTCCTCCAACACTCAACGGCTGCCTGCAAGCCTCCCAGGCCTGCGCCAACAATGATAACATTGATCCCAGAAGGAGGGTATCGCACGACCCCGTCCACAATTGAACCACACTCAGGCATTTTGTCGATGGATACTTATTTCAAGATGGGGGTAGAATGACACGGAGATATTTGATTAGGGCAAGGTCTCAAACCTTGAGCTTTATACCTCACAAATGATCAAGTCTATGCCGTGACAATACAGTTGCATGGTCTCGACGGACTTGCGTTACATCCCGACCCCGCGGACGACCCATGCATATACCGACCACTATGAACGGCATTTCTATGGGCTCTTTTGAGACGCAAGAGTGTTTGTAGGTTGGCATTACGAGTCGTAGCGGAGCTCCATCGCAGTCACCTCCCGGTGGGATACGCTGTTGTCGCAGGCTTCTTCGCAGTTTTACAAAAGCCCGGGACTAGCTCCACTAGCCAGAATTATTTTTCCCAGACCTCTTATGCCCCAGAATTATTTGCGGTGTTTCCATTTCTCCAATTCTTCTGTCTCCAGATATCTGCCTACAACAGCTTGGTGACACCTTTCAATCTCTCTGTATACTATACAAACGTAAAGCTCAATTCATGCTATTCATTCATTCTAACCACCTCGAAACTAGCAATTTGCACGTAGATGGTAGGGTTTCGAAAGTTTCAGCATCGAAGATAGATGTAAGTAAGGTAGCCGGGGTTAGGCCTGCCGATGTCCTTCAGCATTTTGTCGGCGACCTCACACAGATCCCAAGCTCCTTGGAGAAGGGATGCATGGTTTTTTCACCCGGCTTCGCCGATATTTGGTGGTCAAGTCAGCATAGCAGCTATGAGTAGGGAAAAATTCTGGCCTCAGCTGGGACTATGAAAGAACTCAGTACGAACTACCTTAATTGCCTAAGTACTCATACTAAATACCGAAGGGGACTAAACCTATGACGTTCAGGTTTGTTACTTCTTAGAATGATTGTGCAAGACACAGAGTAGTAACAGATCCTTTAACTTTACTTCCAAGACCTAAGTATACCCACAGCACAGTCTCAATGAGCGGCAAACGAAGCAAGCTAATAAGCAGATATCTTTCGTCTCTAAAGGCAGAATCCAATATCCCTTGAATAACAAACACGCTCAATGACTACTGGTCCCTTTAATACAGGGGTCGCTTGTAGCGTTGATAGAATATCCGTCGTAGATGATAAGACTGCCACCCTGCGGAGTGAGATTTGCCTTCCCGGTGTCCGGGTTCTTCGCAACGGTGAAGTGTGTTTGGAAGCTACACATATGTAGAGTTTGTCAGTAGTCTGTATAAATAATTGAATGCGACCGGAGAGAGTACTAAGGACTTACTAAGTAGTTGCGCAGCTTGAGTCGATCGGGCGGCTTATCTCCAGAACCCCGGCAACCTCAAATGTCTTATCCGCTGGCGTTTCCGAAGATACGAAGGTTCGATTTGGGAAGTGCTATGTGTAGAATATCAGCCGACTTTCCATTCCACTGTCTGTAAGATGAAAATCCCGAGCAACCTACGTTCCATTGCACTGAGCCATCCGTGGGCAACATCGCTCCTCTGGCCCCCAGAATCTCTCGGTTGCCAATGTTCCTTGTTCCGAGGATGATCAAAGCACCGCCGGGCGCGAAGAAGTCGGTGGCGCGATCAGTTGCGAAAGGGTCCTCAAAAGCGCCGAGAAGTCTAAAGTGGAATCAACGACTCATCAGCACGTATGGATCGAAGAAGCACTTGGTCTGGCTTACTCTTTGTACCAAAGCTGGAATTCTGGCTCTACGCCACATGACGGCGCGTAGTCTCTCATGTCAATTGCGTGGGCCGCCTGCAGCACAATGCCAATGCTGTAAATGGTGTGAAACCGCATCCTGATAGAATATTTGTTATCAATTTGATTCGGCAGAGAAGTAAAATCTACAATGGAAATAATTATGTTCTTATACTCACTCCAGCGGCATCAATCGTGATATTGATGGAATGAAGTCTCATCGTTTCCTTGCAAAGCCAAGTAGATTGACTGCCTTGGCTCAATCTCCGGATTTGCGTTTCGCTTTTCCACGGACAGCCTGGATGACGAGATTACCTAAACCCTCCCTCTTTTTCTTTGTCATCGTTTACTTTGCTCGGGTTGCTCAAAGGAGATTTGTGTCAGACCGAAACCGACTACGTGCTCGGTGAGGCGTGGTGAGGACGCCGGGTAAGTGGATGGAACTGAGACTAAGTTCAAACCATGAGACAGATCGCGCTAAATCGAATTAGGGAAACAATCAAGTCTTGGCAAGCGGGTCAGTGCTTCGAGCGGAAGCTCTTAATGTCCGCATAGTTCTGACGGATTTAGGTTGGACTTCCCGTCGACACCTTCTGATTTCCAATTGTTTTCCCAATGAAGACATCGACCAAAAGTCCGTGCCGTCCCTATACTCAGAGAGTCATGGCTAGTACGGGAAAAACTACACAAACCGGTAAATTCTTGCACGCGAGCATTGAATGATTACATGCGTCATGAACATGCGAGTTGGGTGGCTGATATGGGAACAAGTAGCAAAGGGAATCGCTTTTGTCGTCACCACGGCAAGCGATTTGCCGACAGACAGAGACCGAAAGCTCATAAGAAGCCATGTCATGAGGGGCAAGAATACTCGGAAGCGGACGGAACCAAGATTGCAAATGCGGCAGATATCCCCAGTCATCATGGGGCTTCCATCCACAACGAATGGCCGTGATGGCGGCCTCCAGGAAGATGAAGCCGGATACGAGCTGCACAACGATGGCGACGTTACCGGCATACGACGACCTCTCCCATCTCCTCCCCCAGCTAGCATCTTTGCTTTCGTTAGTTTCCCCGAAGAAATCGACGTTAGTGCTCGTAACCTCCTTTGTACTTGTGAGTCTGATGCAACTCTTCTCGGCGCTATGTGCACTAACGGAATCCTCAGATTTCACCTATTTGAAGACCAACATGTACCCAATCGCCAAGTACTCTGCTTCCGATCCCACCGACATTTATTGGTTCCATTGGACCCAGCTCGATCTAGCCTATCTCCACGCCATCCTGTACACCACCTCGTTCTTCTTCGATGATCTGGCAGGGCGGAAGAGCGAAAGAACAAAATATCACTCATATCGAACTGTCAGCGAACTCAATAAACAGCTCAGCGATCCACAGACTGCCTTGACTGACTCCACAACGACGGTGGTCATGTTCATGCTCTTTATCACGGAGTGCTTTGGAGATATGGAGAGCGCCCACATGCATATGATGGGGCTGAAAAAAATCATCGATCTTCGTGGGGGCCTGAAGTCGTACGAAGGAAAGCCTCTTCTCCAGGAAAAGATCCGCCGGTAAGCATCCAGCGCTCCATCTTGCCTTCCTTCTCCTTGACACGGCAGCGAAGTATAGGTACTAACAATCCCGAATGAAGAGCGGATTTGATTTACAGCATGTGTACCGGCTGTAAGCCAGTATACTGCCAAGGCATTTCGTCTTCTGCTTGTGATTTATCCAGTCAGGTCCGTCATTTCGAGCACTGGTCAATCGATCAGAGTTGCTTTTCCCGCTCGCGCGACCTGATTTATGGCCTTGACCGACAGCTATACATCTGCGTGAAGAATGTCCAGATTCTTACACAGATGATCAACACAAGTCACAAGACAGGGGAAAAACTGGCGGACATGACTTTGGAGAAGTTCTTAACATCTATTCAGTCACATCTTCTCGTCCTTGACTTTTATGACGATGCTAGAGATTCTTTGGTGGAAGTTCTCAGACTTTCACTTCATGCCTACTTGACTACTGTTTTCTGGAGCTTTCCCGGCCTGAAAACTGAATATCCTCTTCTGGCCGTTCAGTTCCAAGAGGCTTGTCTGGCCTTTTCACCCACCACAGCCGAAGAAACCTTCTTGTTCGCCTGGGCCTTGATGGTAGGCGCCATCTCATTATTCCAAAATCGAGATCAAGAGTGGTTGTCAGAAATTCTCTACCCTCTAATACGGACCAGTCTTGGTACCTTGTGGCTTGAGGCGAAAGCCAGTCTGCGTCAAGTAATGTGGATAGAAAGTCTTCATGATAGCGGGGGAACGGAAGTTTTCAGGCGATATATTACCAGGAAGAATAGTGAGACAGCCATCTCACTAAGACGGGTTTGATTGTGGTCTAGGCTATTAGTGCGCTACAATCGTTGTGGAAATTCATCATATGCCCCATAAGATGGGAGTCCTTCCCGTTTCTGATCATTGGTGCGTCTAAAAGGGTCACGTGCGGTCTGGTTTACTTTTACGATTCAGTTCGAAAATTGGATTGAAGAGCCTTTGTGATTCAGAAGTCTCCAGGCTGAAGCCTGAAGGTCGAGGAGATACGACTATTGAAGTAAATGTACCCCTAGCTTGCCACATTGTGAAACTTCTCGATTGGTCAAATCTTGCCGTGTCTCTTGAGCCATGTTTGCCCCTTCCTCAAAGATTGAGGTGTGTTTTGAAAAAGTCCGTCACATTAGCTACCGAGGGCGCAACGTACAGCTCCTGGTCATAGAAATCCATGTGGCGTCCACCAGGTACCAAAATCTTCACTGCGTTCGGATTGGAATCCTTGATCTTCTCGTAGATGTCATCAGTGCCCCAACGGCTATCGGCGTCCTCCCCGGCAATCAAGATCGTTGGTTGAGAAAGAAACTGGTCTGCGAGGTGCCAAGAGTCGAAACGATAAATAAGAGGGACAGAAGCGGGGTGCATACGGTTCTCGGACGTGTTGTAAAAGCCGCGAGGTGTGCGGTAATAGTCCCATGCGTCGACCAGGTCAGGGGGTGTGTCGGCTTGGGGAGGGTCGGGAACGTATTGGAGGTAGGTGATGTTGCCACCCCCGGCGATGTCTTGAATGACTTCCGCCGCGGACTCGACTGTAGCGTAAGCATCCGAAGTGTTCATGGTGTTCAGCCAGCCCTGGCGATTCGTGTCGCCAATGTTGACCAGGCTGATTGCGGCTACCGCCTTGATTCGGTGGTCAGTGGCTGCCGCGGCGATTCCGTACCCGCCGCCAGCGCAGATCCCGAGAACCGTGATCGCGTCAGGATCAACGTAGTCTAAGGTCTGTAGGTAGTCCACAACAGAGGATACATCCGAGACCCTAGAGCCTGGGTCTTCTAGGTAGTGCGGGCTTCCCTCGGATTGTCCTTGGTAGAGTGCGTCAAAGGCAACGGAGACGAATCCCTGTTGAGACATGCGCTGAGCATAAAGGTTGGCAGTCTGCTCTTTGACTCCGCCGCCAGGGTGAACAACGACGAGGCCTGGAGCCAAAGATGAAGCGTTTTCCGGGCGGTGGAGCAGGCCAGCTAAGTGGAGGCTGCCTTTGGCGATGCTGATCAGAGACATGATTGAGGTTGCGTACGTGCAGTAGATGATTTGAGTAATGAATAGGATCTGTGAGAACTGTTATTTCTTGAGTGTTCAAAAGTAACATTGAGGGTCAGCTGGTTGTCAGTCTTAAGTACTTTTTCTCACAGATTGGCCAAGCCCGATACCCACGCAGTCCAGGTGGCTCAGATATTACTCTGTTGCCGCCAAAATGACAACATCCGTCGCCTGTCTTATCGTCACCCTGGATGAGTTTGTTGCCAAGCATCCAGTCCACCTCTTGGCTTTGACCATGGATTAGACAATTGACTTTCGCCAGGCCTATAACTTTAGAAAGGGGGCATGGCGTCCGGTCGAGAGATTTGTCAGGACTTCGGACTCCACATGACATGACGACATAAGGCCTTACATCGGCATTTTACTGGAATCATGTCGCTGTAAGGTTATGCCTTTATATCTATGATTCACCTTACTTCCGATATGTCCGTAAAATCGTCTAAAGTCCACTGACTGAACGAAGTTTGCCTTGCTGGGACAAAAGCCGCACGCCCCTTGATTTCAAATTTCTTGGATTCAGATTATCTTATAATCTTCTGCAACTGCCATTCACTTCGTTGAACTCCGTCTTCAAAATCATACTCAGACCCAAAAGCACAATATTCATTCATAATAACCGATTCATCATGGCTCCTCTTGTTTGGCTCATTACGGGAAGCACCTCAGGCTTTGGCGCCGAGTTTGTCAAGGCACTCCTTGCTAAAGGAGATAAAGTCATTGCTACAGCTCGCGACACCTCGAAGATAGCCCACTTTCGTGAAGCCGGCGCGGCTGTACTGAAATTGGACCTCCTTGCCGACCAGGCCGAGTTCGACAAGGTGGCCCAGGACAGCCTCAGCATCTACGGCAGTGTTGATGTGCTAGTCAACAATGCAGGCTACTCCCACTTTGGAACCATCGAGGACGACAGGTTAGTTGCGCTCACTTGACTCATCGCTTCTTGATCCTTATTGAAGGTACGTGTACCTGATCCATGAAATATTAGCCAGGAAGATTGGAACAAAGTCTTTCAGACGCACCTTTTTGGACCACTTGGTACCACTCGAGCCTTCTTACCTCATTTTCGAGCACGCAAATCTGGGACATTTGTCTTCATAGGATCTACCGCCGCGTGGGGAGGTATTCCTACGCTAGGGGCGTATTGCGCTTCTAAAAGCGCCTTGAGAGGTATTCCCCCCGGCTCTCCAAAGAAAAGTGTGAATGGCGGGATGAGGAACTTTCTTGACTAACGTCCCCTGAAATCAGGTGCTGTTGAGGCCCTTAATCTTGAGGTTGCACCATTGGGGCTCAAGACACTTCTCGTAGAGCCAGGTTTCTTCCGCACCGAACTGCTCAACGCCAACAACACTGTCTATGTTGATACGAAGAACCCGGACTACAAGCCTATTGTTGATCCGCTCTCTGCCCAATTTAAGGGAGCTCATCAACAGCAACCTGGAGATCCCGCCAAGGCAGTTTCTCGCATCATTGACACGGTCGGATCCAGAGGAAGTGCTCAGGGGCGACCCTTACCTGTCAGCCTTGCCCTTGGACCGGACGCAGTTTCTCAGTTGACCAAGAAGTGTGCTGACACAATTAAACTGGTGGATGACTGGAAGGAGGTTTCTTCTGATACTTTGCTGTAGATCTGCCCCTGATTGGAAAGGTCGCACTCGCAAGAGGGGTTCAGAACTCAAGACAGTTTTTGAGATCTGCGATATCAATAAACTCAGTGATCTACCTTGCAAGGGAGTCGAACACGGATCCCGCCCAAGATGTATATTCTTCTTGCGGGGTAAGATCCATGATTGAGATGTATGGGAGGTGCTCTGAAACCTCGGTTGATCAGGATAGCCGGAATCCGTCAAAGCTCATCACGTTTTGGACAGCACTCATTGTTGCTACCCTGACTATCGATATTAGTTTTAGTACAATTGCAAGTTCCTACGCTATTCAGACGTATAATCTTTCCCACTGGAAATACGTGCTGTCACAGAAGCAGAATGCGGTTGATCTAGTTCAGGCTTGCACCAAATCAGAGGGGTCCAGAAGTGGTCGGAGGCTCGAAACTTTTGCAGGAGCTACATGTAGGCAGTACTGGTGTATTGTAAAGGTGAATTGAGTTGAACAGAGCTCTTCAATGAGCAATCTTTAACAGTTGATTTTATTTAGATTTAGTAAATTAACCAATTGGCTAATCATCATCATCGTCATCATCTCCACCCTTTCCACCCCCTTTCTTTTCATCGTCATCTCCACCGTCCCCCTCGCGGAACGCATTGGGGGTCACCGCAACCGCTCGACTTGAGCCAGCAACGGGCTGCCCAGCGGTGGCAGCTACAGCATCAAACTGTGCAGACTTTGCGTTACCTAGCCGCGCAGTAAACGGACCGAATCCTCGCTCGTGGAACCCCAAGGTTGCCCCAGGGTTTCCGGGGTTTCTCACGGCCTTCTCCGACAGAGCCCATCCCATTACGGCGTTGGCACTCGTGGCCTCCGCACCGAGTCCCAACGTCGCATCTAGACAGTTCTCGCAGAGAAAGGTATAAGTCAGAGACGTCGCGTTAACGGAGACGCCCTCTGCAATAGGCCGGACGGCGAAGTTGCCCTTGACTTCGGGTGGGTTGTCCTCGTTGGTTCCTTGGCGGAATGTAGCCATGACACCACCATTGCCATCCGGCCATGCTGCCAGGAAGAAGTTTCCTTCCATGTCGCCGGTCAAGCCCATGGCGCCCCATCCAGCACCGTTGACTAGCGGGAATGACAATTGGCCGATGAAAGATGATGAAGTTGTTTCTGGCAGAGTCATCGCGAAGGCAAACGAGGTACGGGCTCCGAAGAAGCGCTCCATATCCAGGCCTGTGGCCTGGTCTACGAAGGGTGCGCTTTGCTGAGCTGGTGAAGAGGTGGGATCTTCAGCCTTAGTAAGGATGGCGATGGAACAGAAGAGAAGGATCGAGTAGAAGAAGGCAGGGCTAAACAGCCTCAGTGGGAGGAGACATTCGAACGTCATGATGGTATCGTGGAAATAGGCTTTGTCTCGAATTGAATGATTATGAGATGCCGGCGAACCAGCGCACGACCGAATTTGATAGATAAACTCGAAAGGGAAGACGGGTTGGAGGCTGAAGACTTTCTACTCGAAACTGACTTTGAGAGACCTTTCACACTGCTTTATGTATCTAACTTGTCCGTAGTCCACCATCTAAACCTCAGCCAAGACGCCACTGTGTTGTGACAGCTCCGTCTCATTGAGGCATTTGGGAGGAGTCGGTGAGGCCATGTTTGAGCCAAGATTAGCACCTGTCCAAACTTCCATCACATAATGGACAACCATCGGACGCATCGTGGTTGACCTCTCAAGAGGCTGGTTTTAGCAATCAGACCCGGGCTGTTCTATTAATACGACGAAGTTGGTTGGCAGGATTTAGCGACACACTCCAAGTCAAGATGTCTGACAGGCAAGCCGTTTCGGGTTGTCTGGGGTAAGGCCTGGTCGCGCATCATCCGTGATGTGCAGCCAATGAGACCGATATGGAGACCCATATTTTGACCGTTTCATGGACGCAAGGCGGGAATAGTCTCACGACAAGAGAAATCCGATCTCCTCGTTACTTCTTGCCTGGAGCTGCCCGTAGTTTGCAGCTGAATCTGTTTCGAGAGAGAACTTCGCAAGTCGGTAGAGAGCCATATTGGCTTTGGGAGTGATCCTGCAAGTGGGCACGGCTATGACGGCGGAGACAAACTTGGCAGCGCAACAAGTGAGAGGCGATGAGCCGTGCGATGACTTGCTGGGCTCACGCACGCAATCTAAGGAGTTTTACCGTCGTATCGGGTTACATGGTTGACTTGGGATACAATTCTTTACCAGGCGATATGGATTATTACCCCGCCAAGATCGCCTGTTGGATAGCTTTCCGCCCAGCTGTCCGAAAGGGACATCATTCCATGCCAAGTATTTGGCATCAGGTCAACTTGTCTTCCTCGCGAACCCGGCGGTACGGTCTGATGTGACGAAAGTAAGACCACCGAGAAGTCTAATCGGCGTTGGTCTTGGCAAGATATCAACCACTATCGCATGCAAATATTGTTGGCAAGCCTTAGCCCTTCACGCCATGCCAGGCTTTGGCAAACAGGAGTTCTTCGATGTCTGAACGTGATCTCAGATCTGCACTAGGTATATCAATCAGACGGCTCCAGTCAATGGAAGACCGAGGTACTCGCCTAGTATCGAGTAAACGTAAGAATAAGGTTAAAAATAGCAAGAACAAGCGGAGTTGCTCACAGCTCACAAAGACTAGAGCGCTATTCCTGATTACATCAACTTTCCGAAGCTCATGCCAGGATGCATTTAGAATAAGAACGGACGACAGCCAGCAACCGGAAGCAACATGGGTTCAGCGTTCAAAAAATTTCAGACCCCAAATGATCCATGCAGCCCCGCCGGCTGCACTTCCCCTTTCCAAAAATCCGGGTGACCCCGTTCGTCTGATCGGCTCAGGGTCAGGGGCAGTCTCAGACCTCGTACCATTTAGCACTTTTTTTTGTTGGTACCGCCAGTGAGTGCAGAGTTTCCGAGGCTCTTGATAACCTTGGCGTCGGACAGTCGGCAAGTTCGCATTCGCCAACGGTTCGAGATGCTCTACTTGGCGAGGGGAACAGCGGTTGCCTATCGCGTCTAGGAAGCAAGCACGAGTTTGCTTCTAACATGAGATCACGGACTTCGATCCCGAAGCTGTGGGCGGCCTGAGGTTGGCAGAGACATATTTTGAGGAAGACTTTAGAAGATTTCAAGCAAAACGCTCAAGTGCAATGGGATGTAACGCAACAATACGTTAAGAAACACCTGCCCTGTGCGCTTTTCTTCTCAGCACCTCGCAACTTCATGTGCAAGTGACATCTCATCCAACATCCACACCTCACGCGGGCAACTGCTTAGACATGTACCTTCGTCACGGCCCGCCTGGGATCATGAAGGACAGCAAGCCAAATCCCACCATCCCCGCCTCAAAGCGGGTTGAATTACACTCCGGCGTTGTGGCAGAGTGGTCTAATGCGCAAGACTAGAAATCTTGTTCCTTCGGGAGCGTCTGTTCGAATCAGGCCAACGTCGACACTTTTTGTTTGGGGCAACGAATTCGGGTGATTGATGTTGTCAGTTCTGGTTTGCGAGGTTTTGCCAGACTCTGCGCTTCTGAGCATCAAATTCTGTGCGTTCGGGTTCCCGGAAAAGCGGAGACTCCAATTCTGGCCTTTTGTGTCTTTTTACGACCCCATCAGATTAAAAACGCCACTTATGTCAGCCCCTCATTCCCTCGACTTACAACATCGCTGTCCATGGCTTCTGCGCACCCAACTCAAACCGCCTATGTCACATTGTTGACGGCTGGGGTGCATCAATGTCATTGATAAGGGGACGCCTTGCCAAAAGCCAGCACCCGAAACAAAACATCACCTAGGTACTGAAATGTGCTCACGATTCAGGTCCGTCAGACGGCAGGAATCCCGTTCAACCGAGAAACCTAGTTACCTACCACACATAGCGGGCTCACTCGTTGTTCGACCACACCATCACGATGCCAACACATGGAAATAAGTTCACTCTGAATAGTCATTGAGTGGGATTTCAGAGTCAATTGATGATCTCCAGGAGTCATGAAAGATCGAATGGTAGTCCTTGTACACCAGCAAATTACTATCTAGTGGCTTGCCAGGCAACAATTCTGGCGTTCCATTCTGACAGCCTGCTTGACCCCAACCTGCCAATTTCGCAAGGAACCTGCAAGCGATGCTTAGAGTCTAGGAATGCCAAGCCGCCAACTCAAAAGCAACCTCAAGCCACAACATAACTTACACAAGGGTCCAACTGCGACTCTGGGACTAGCGAACGCCTCTCTTGGGGATCCCCTCAACTCCATTCGTCACAGTCGTCAAACTCGACTCAGCCGTACCGCGCCAGTCGCCGTTAGGGCGTGAAAAGTCTGACAGGACCTTATTTTGTTGGCCAAACTTACGTCGCTTGGAGTGTGTGTACTATGTAGTACTGTGCATGTACGATTGCACGGTTGAAAACATTGTTAATCTGTCTTTTGCCAATCATGTAGCTCTGAGCGGGTCATCTCGCGCCCGAGTCAGAGTAATCATTTGATACGTGTTGGCGATCTGCGCCTTGAATCGGCATTAGCTTGACAGCTTCACTTCGCTTACTCGCAGAAGCTAATAAGTTAGGGGAGCTAGATAAACAAGGTTAAACGAGCTGAGCTCGCTAGCCCAGGCTGACAGGAATGCGGGGACGGGGTCGACAGGCGGAGGCGGACTCGGACTCGGAGTCATGCCTTGCGGTGGCAGGTGATGTCAGTCGGACTAATAGCTTTGACTGAATTCAGGCAGGATTGATGATCTGAGGCTGTAGATGATACCAGCGATCTTCAAGGCCAGTGATAGACTCGGGTTCACTCCGTAGCTGCCCGACTGTATCCTGTCCTCTGGTGCTCCGCGATGGAGCCCCTCTCGGGGCCATTTCTACTCACCCATTCTGTTCTTCAACGTCTAGAGCTACCTATCTGAACACGAGACGCCACTCATGATCCTCTAATAAAACCATGTGGAAAGGAAGCGCCTTCAAAGTGCAGATGCCTGGTTATCATTAAACCCTGCATGTCTAGCTCATCCCCACAAGGCTCACCCGCACTCTCTAATCAATCCACACCCTTCCGCCCACCGGTATTCATACACTCAAACCCCTTTACGTCCCCATCCGAAGGGTCGGTACAGACTCCAGTTGTTGTACAGAGTACAACAAACCTGCCTTGCCAAGAAACAATTGCCTTGTCAATCAAGGGATTAAGGGACTTGGCAACAAGGTGAACGCCCGTCGTATTGTTCATCCCACCTGCCGTCCGTCGGTCCGTGTGACTTGACCGCAAACAAGCACCCAAGAAATAGAGATGGACGTCGGGTAAGCCTCGACAAGGGAGCTAGCGAGCGATGAGCAAGGTCCGGGGTTGGAAGCTTGTATTCAGCTCTAAATTTCTACCAATATGGTACGGATATGCTCTCAGCCTGATCAACGGCTTTGTGTGAGTGGCTACCCTTGAGCAGGACTCCAGAGAAAGCCGCGGAAATGTCAAGGTCCAAGACACCTGCCTCACAAGACCTGTCTTTCTTCCTGGACTTGGGTCTGGCCAAGAACTACATATACCACAACATAAGTCTCTGAAGCTGTCCAACGATCTCGTGTCTCCCGCCCCCCTCAAAGCCTTTGAGCTTCAGGCGAACCTACCCAGACACATTGTCCCCTTTCAAGACCAAATCCTCAAAGAGCACACATCAGAAGGACCCGACCATGCTCTCCAAACCCCTTCTCTCAACCCTCTCGGCCCTCCTCCTCCCAATCCTCACCCACGCTGACGAGCCCCAAAACTACGACGGCTCAACGTCCCTCTCGACCCCAGCCTACCTCTTCCCCGGCACCGGCTCCACAATTCCGATCCTCAACATCGGCGCCGCGGCCGTCGCCTCGTGTGACATCGGCAAGAAATCCTGCGACAACGGCTGCATCCCCATCACCGGAACATGCTGTGGCACGGGTTCGGGCGGGTACTGCGAGGTAGGCAAATACTGCACCTCGGGTGGGTGCTGCCAAGTCGGCAAGACGTGCTCTGGTCCGCCTCAGGGATGTAGTTCGGGGAAGGTACTTTGTAATGGGCTTTGCATCCCTTCTGGCACGGTATGTTGTTCCAACGGAGGGTACTGTGATGCCGGAGAGACGTGTACTTCTGATGGACACTGTACCGGCGGCAGCGGAGGCGGGGGAGGAAGTTCCTGTGGGAACGGGCAGACGCAGTGTGGGAGTGGATGTATGCCCTCTGGACAAACGTGTTGTCAGACGTACTACTGCCCGACTGGGGAGACGTGTGCGGGCGACAAGAAGTGTAATAAGGGAGGCGGCGGTGGCGGAGGAGGCACTTCGTGTGGAGCTGGGGAGACGCTCTGTGGCACTGGGTGTATGCCTACGGGACAGACTTGCTGTCAGACCTATTACTGCCCCGCAGGGAACACTTGCGTGGGCGATAAACGTTGTAATAGCGGAGGAGGAGGAGGAGGTGGTGGTGGTGGTGGTGGAAGCCAGTGTGCGGCTGGTCAGACTCCTTGCGGATCGGGATGTATGCCAGCCGGTCAAGTCTGTTGCGATACATACTTCTGCGACGCCGGCGAGAAGTGTCTGGGGAACAAGAAGTGCGACAAGGGCGGCGGATCTGGCGGCGGAAGTCAGTGTTCGGCGGGCGAAACTCCTTGCGGTACGGGATGTATGCCGGCTGGTCAAGTCTGCTGCAATACCTACTACTGCGACGCCGGAGAGACGTGTGCTGGAAATAAGAAGTGCAATAAGGGTAGCAGCGGCGGCGGCGGAGGAGGAGGAGGAGGAAGTCAGTGTGCGGCCGGCCAGACACCCTGCGGCACCGGATGTATGCCAGCCGGTCAAGTCTGCTGCGAAACATACTTCTGCAATGCAGGCCTCACTTGTGTCGGGGACAAGAAGTGTCGGAACCCGAACGGTGGAGGCGGCGGCGGCGGAGGTGGTGGTGATGATACAAGCGCGACATCTAGTCTACTCGCGACGATACCTGGGGGTGAAGCGGGGACTACGTCTCTGAGAGACTTCCCACAGCCCACGCAAACACTTGGTGGCGGCGATGATGGGCCGACATCATCGTCGTCGAGATCTTCGACGTCAACAACAAGGACAACGACGACTAGCGCAGCGCCGACGTCAACATCGGCCCAAGGTGCCGCGTTTTTGGGAAAGAATCTCGACGGCTCCGTCTTGGTCGCAGGCCTCCTCGTTGCAGCGCCCCTGGTTATCTGAAGATGATCATAAATGGTACATATTCGAATGGCGAATGAGTAAAAGAGTAACACAAGCGTGATTGAACGTCATAGGGATCAGTCTATAATTTGAATAATATTCCCTTAATCATGTATCGCTCCCATACGCCTAGGAAATCCCGGTAAACGCCAAACTTTTTCGAGCCCATGTTGATGCTAGAAATGTCAAGGCGCCATGTGTAGTGCTACCCAAGCAATGCTGCCTACGCCCGTAAATGTGTCATGATAGTCCTACAGATACCTGGGCCTCATCCACTCAAGATTACGAATACTCAGATTGAGCCCGTTGCTGGCCCACCACTTCCGCACCGGCTCTTGATCGCCGATACTGTCTTCCAAGGCCTCTTCGATATCGCAGGTTCGGTATTCGACGCGGTGTTTCCGCCCTTCCATTCCTTCAAGCTCGCCATATGCGAACTTGCGCCACCACTCCAGAACCCCAATGTGCTGATGGATTGTAGGTTGAACGAGGACCTCGCCGTCGAAAGCGAGCTTGTCGTCGCCCTTTAGCTTCCTCCAAAGTTCGAGAACGCCGACCTGACCCCATCGTGAAGCAATTTTTGCTACGCCGTCTCCATTGGCAACAGGAATGCCAGAGGCCACCCACCAACGTATGACGTCAACCTGGCCGTGCTGGGCGGCCCACAACAGCGACTTCCCAGGTCTAAGCACAATATTCTCGTCCTGGGCAGCTGCATCACGCCACCATTCAAGCACGAGAAGATGACCTTTTCCACTGGCCTGCTCGAGAGCAGCCTCGGTAAAGCGGAGCGGTAAGCCGGAGCGCCGCCACCACCAGTCCAGGCTCTGTATATGGCCGTTTTTGGACGCCCCATCAAGGGCTTCGGCATCGTAGCACTGTTGGTGGCGACCACGGAAATATCGGCTCTCCTTCCAATAATCAAGGACGTCGGAGCGTCCAAAGTATGCGGAAGCCTTGGTCGCGAGGACCTTGCCGTCGAAAGCCTGGAAGAGATCAGGGCGGTTGGCCTCCATCCAGGTAAGCACTTCAATCAGCGAGAAGCGGATAAGAAGCTTAATGACGAGTGCTGGGAGTTCGTGGAAGGTAGGCGGCGACTGAAGCAGCTTTTTGCAAATAGAGGTGGAGTCGCAAGTAAGTACGAGCCACTCCAATTCGTGCTCGTAGACCTTCACCGGATCGTTGGGGTTCCTGGGTTGTAGCTTCCAAGGATATGGCATGGGCAGGTTGGTGAAAATCCCTAACGCCTGCGCCAACTCCCAGTCGTCGGCAAAGTCGAGAATAATAGTCCAGATCTCTGGCGGCAAATTGGAGTATACTCGCGGATCACCCGAAGCGAGGTAACCGAGATGGGTGACGACGTCCACATCCCGACCCAGGCCGAGCAAGTCGGCTTGGTTCTTGATGATACCTAACACGTCGTTGAAGCCGTTCCAATTGACAATTCGCTTCGGGTGTTTGTGTGCGCTGTCGTAGTGCCAGAGTATAGGTGGCATAGCTCGCACCCAAGGCCATTTGCTATTGATTTTGTTCAACTGCCTTTTCGTTACCGGGTTCTCCCACATGTGCGTGCTCATCCCAGGGACGAGAAGCACCTTTTTCGCTGTGTCCCAGCCGCGAAGCACCTCAAGAAGGAAAGTATCCGCGATTCCCACCATCATCTTGGCAATGTTGTCGGCATCGATCGGGGCGAGAACCAGGAGATCAGCCCACTCGACCAGCTCGAATGCCTGCTGGCGGTAGAACTCAATATCGTCAACGTCTGCTTCGGAGCCGGCACGCGACGGACCTAGCGGCAGTGTCATGGATCGGTTCTGCATAGTGATGACAGTCTGGCTTAAGCGGGGCACGGCGTCGTCGACGATGGCGCGCATCTCAATGGCCGAACTCTTGGAGAGACGGACGACGAGAGCCTGTGCCCATGATATGTCGCGGGGCCCATTAGCGGCCACTAGAAGGTGAAGCTTTCGGTCGCGCGGCTTGAAATGAAGTGACGAGGAGGAGGAGGCGCTCCTCGTTATTCGGAGCGGCAAGGGGTCGGGGGGATCCATCGTGTCATGCTTTAGGGGTGCTTGGGATGGGTCGTGGTGATCGAGGAGGTTTTGTCGACCGTCAGGCTATTGGCTTCGAGTCGATAGACGGCAGCTAAGAATCGAGAGGCAACGAACGCAGTCGTGGATATCGAATGTCGTGTCTCACCACTCTCTAGCGTGGCTGTGATCGGAGGCGGGTGTCGAGATGATAAGGGCCCAAGACGGACTTTGGGCGCGAGTCGAGTTGGCAAGGAGTAGGTATTTGTCGCGAGTCGGTGAAGAAGGTCAAAAGTCGTCGATCGGCGGCCGTAGATAGCAGAGCTGCTGCCAAATTTCGGTGACACGAGTGATGTAGTGGGTTTGTGATTTATCGGCGGTTGGTGGTGTGTTGTCCGTGACAGCGTTTGCGGTGTGTGCAACGTCGCGTTGGGTAGGTCTGCAGTAGTGGTGGTCCAGCAATTATCCGGGGTCCGTACGGCCACACAGGAGATGATGAAGCAGGCCAGGCGGGATGGGTGTGTAGCGTGTGCAGGTAGGTATCCGATCCGCAGAGCAGCGAGTGGTAGCGTGAGGTCGCTCGCAAGTCAGATCAGCGAATAATAGGATGAAGTCTTGGAGAGAGTCGTGGCTGGCGGGCTGGAAGAATTGGACATGGATAGGTCGCAATATGTGGCATCACCATGACATGGGTGCGAATTCCTTAATTCCACTCTCGGGACGAGGTGCATGCGGTGACCGACCGACCGAGTGACGAGGGGAAGAGGGGGGAACGCAGTTGGGTGGTCCTCGCTTCGTCGGTGACTGGGAACAAGCTGGGCTTGTCTGTCGCTGGTGTTGGTATCGCTCGGTGTCGCTGGTCTCTGATTTCGATCTAGGCTACGATGATTCGTCGGGAGATGAGGCAGCGAAGCGAACTGGATGCGAGAGGGACAAGAAAAAAAGGTCCGGGCTTGTTCCTTGAGATGACGAGAATGCGAGCAGCGGCGGCGGCGGCAGGCGAGAAGAGACGCTGAGACGCTGAGACGCTGAGACGCAGATGGGAGTTTTCGGGAAGACCAGGACGAAGGAGTGGGGACTTCCTGCAGGGCAGAATAGAAGGGGGGCAGAAGGAAGAAAAACAAGGGGTCGTCGACAGGGAAGAGTCGAGTATCCGTAAATGCGGATTGAGGGGGAGAAGGAATCTTCCTTTGCTAGGTGGATATGGAAGCAGTCCACGTCCACGTTCACGACTAGGTACGACTCCAAGAGCCCCAAGAGAAAAGCCTGGGAGAAAAATGAGGAGAGACTCAGACGGTGACGGTGACATTTGTGGAGACCTTGCGGGCGGAAAGTCTGCCGTTCTTCCTTTCCAAATTCTTCCATCTGTCATTTGTGACCACCTCTCTTCCATGGCCTGTTGCCTCCAGTGACACCTGAGGTGCGACGAGGAGGCGTCGGTGAGCAGCAATTACCTAATCTGCCCCGCCTTTTCTATGCTTGTCCCACGCTCCTTCCTTACCAACTGGCAACCACAGCATGGGCAGTCACTTTTTGTCTTTTTTGCAGGAGCCGGACTGAGCCTCTGAGGTGCGCCTTCCTCAGCAAACTCCCCCGCCTCTACGTCACTGGCGCTCCTGCCTCCTGAGACAGTTTGACCAGTGACGGCAGGTCCAGAAATGCAAGCGACCCTTCCTTCCCTCCCACATGAAATTCTCCGCGGATCGTTGCCATTGCCGAATCGACTCAGTCTCGGACCGTTGCTTCCTTTGGTTTTCCAGGTCACCAAGACAGCTTTCATTCTCAGACTCATTCGCATTCTCACCTCATCGCTCATACCCAGACACGGCACTTCGCTTCATCATATCGCCGCTTCAAGTAACTCATGAACCACCAGTCATCTGAACCTCCCTGATCGACTGCTGTCAGCCTGCCAAACCCAGCCATCGGACCGGCTCATCCTGGCTGCCACAAGGCAAACTCCAAGGCGTCACTGTGAATTTCGAGCATAGGCCCCCTGTTTTGCATCTCCGACTTCAATTTGCCAAGTTTAGCGCAATCCGGCTTTATCCCGCAGGGTCCTCCGTGTCTTCGGCGCCGGATCCCCACTCAAACGGCGATTAAGTGTGGATTTCATCCCGACTTTTCGCTTTTTACTCAGGAGCCCCCCCCCCCCCCCCCCCAATCGAGACCCCGGTCGACACCCCCGGACCGAGGAGCATTTCTTATTGAGCCATCAGAAATAAAGAGTGCTGACATAATTCAATCAAGTCGCATTAGCTTGAGCCGCGGCCTACTGTGTACGTCTTCGCACTCCCTACAGAGTCAAGGAACTTTTGTTATCGGATCCTCCAGAGAATGCGGCATGCATGCTCTAGTACTTCTTTTCCCTTTGATATTGAGTGCTGCTTCTGAGATATTTGAACGAACCGTGTCCCGCTGAGCAACCTCTGCTCCTCATTGCGATAATGGATGAGCCTCTCTTGGGCAAAAGTGGTGGCGCGTGCGCCGTCGATGCACCTGAGAGACGCCTTACTTAGTTGTTGGCGCCACCAATACCTCAATGAAGAATACTGCCTCTTTCTACTATTGAGGCAGTTCGCGGCCTCATCGGATTACTGGTACATATTTTTGATTCGCTCATCGGTAGAGTTAAGCTTCTCTATTACACCCACAAGCTAATGAACTCTATTCTCGGCACCCACCTCAACCTCGTTCTCGGTCAACTACCACAGGCCAACCATGTGATACGCAGCAGCCTTAAGGATCAAAGCACTCGTTCGCTATAGCTTCTACCGACTCAAACCAGATATGATATGATCGAGAGCATGCCAAGTGCGTCAGAACGGCTGTTATCAAAACTTGTAAGGAGAGCTACCGGATATAATTCCCTCATCCCGCTCCACCTAGCATATGAAGATGAAAAGTAGTGTTGACCCTTATGATCGAATCATCATCGTGCATAAGTAGCTATGAGGGCCATTGGACTTTTTCCACTTCCACACACGACTAATGGCGGTCGCAACATAGAGCGCAATAGGTGTGGATATTTCAGGCATCCGTACGGCACCGCCTCTATGCTTTGCCAACAAGTCCCACTTTGCGGACTCATAAATCACCGGCAACAACTTCACGGAATCCCCACTCGTAACTAAATACGATGACTAAATGACTATAAAACAGCTCTAGTGTATGAATGACATCTCCCAGGTTTTCCTAGAGTACGCAGGTTGGGAATTTTCATTCTATCCCTTACAGTTCCACATGAGGTATTTCTGCCCACAAATTTGGATCCGAAGACAAAAATGCTATACAGTTTCTCTTTCTTGGTTGTGGCTATGACCTGTGCCACCACTGCCTCCAGTGCTACCTCTGCCGTCCCTTTCACCTGGCCCCCTACGCAAGGATCCATGTCCGATTTCGAGTACAACTTACGCTACGGGTGCGACTTCATGACATGGTGCGGAGGCTTCGATGGCGGATGCGAAGCCGAGGTATTGCAACCCACAATGCCACATAGAGTTGCTGAGCACTTACTGATATATCTGGGTGATGTTAGTGCCAGCGTCAAGGGAAACAAGGCTGGACTTGCACGAGTCCCAATTGCGAGTGTCTTTGCGAATAGAGCTATTTGATCTTCAAGGCATCCATGCACATTGCACAAGTGGTACCGCCAGTGGCTAGATGCCATGCAGTCCCCTATACAAACCCCAGTTGAGGCTGAAAGCTAGAATAGCGTGATAGTAATCACTAGATCAATTTGGACAGCATTGGACAGATAGCTACACGAAAAATCAATGCAACATCTTTGGGAGGTGAAGAGGACTCCGCACAACAATACAAAATGACCTTGGACTTCCTCTAACCAGCCAAAGACCTGGGTTACACTGGGCTGCGAAAGCAGCGTCCGTTATTGGGATCAGCTCTGTGAAATTTCGTGTCAGCTTACTGATTGATCCAAGTTTTATAGCAAGTATAGCAAGTATGAAAGCTTACATGTACTCCCAATTGCCGTACGCCGTTTTTCCTCCTTGGGCACACTTTGCTTCCTTTGAAAAGCCATTCACGCATTCAGGTCCATGAATAGTACGAGTTGCACCACTACCAAAATACTGCAAAGAGTCAGAGACAAGTAGAAATGGCTGCGAAATTCAAAATTGATACCTTCAGCTCAAAGTCCCACTTGATGCCATTTTTGTCATGCACGCAAATCCGTCGGAATTCGCCCTTGTTGTAGAGACCTGTGAGCAAGCTGCAGACGGCGCTGAGATCGAGAACGTTGTTGTCGTTGGCGTAACCTGTCCGTGGTCCTGATTTGAAACATTCCCCAAGAACCAAGGAGGGTCCAGCGAGAATAGTTAGAGGGAGGATGTGAGCAGGACGCATTTTGCTAAGGACTGGAGAAAGTGTCTGTTTCGTTTTAGGACTCGTTGCTGAATGAGTCTTTGGAGCAACGATTTCTTCATGGCAAGCACACGAAGTACTTATAAACAAGCGCTGGACACGTGCATCCAGGAAAATGATTCTATTAGCATTACGAGCTGCCAAGGAAGCGATGAGCAGTTTTCAGCTCATCAATTGCAAACGAGCAATGATAGTCTTCGTGTTCAACTGTTCATTGCTTAGCTGTCGATCTTTCGTATTGAAGATTGAATTGACTGCCATTCATTTCTCGCTATGAAGCAGGTAGCAAACGCAAACTTCGCTGATCTGTCGAATGCCAAAGCCTGGAACAGGTGTACAGATTGCGCAGTAACACAACAACTCATGTCCCCCTTTGCTGATGTTCACGCTGTTTGTATTACGAACCATTGTTCCCATAGCATTACCCCTACATGTACCCTTACCTCTTGGTATCACCTCTCTGAAAGACAGTATCTCATCACATGAGTGTGGGATTCTGACTTGTGTTACATTCGCAATGTTATCGTTTTGTGGCGTTCCCAGATAGCTCGGCGAACGATGCACCATACCTTCCAGACAACGGGTCAAGAAAGCAATCAATGTGCCACCAAACTCTGAAGCTTAAGCACCAAGCTGTGATCTTGGAATGCCAACTTTGACAACAGGTCCCGTTTAGCAGTGAAGCAAGCCGTGGTCACGTCCTCAAACTTCAATCAATGTTTGCTTTTCTTGTGATCTTGACTCCTGTCAAGGCCGTGGTTGTCTTCGATGTCACCGTTGCTATCTCAATACCTAGTAGTGACAAATGTTGCGGCAAGGTAGATCACTACCTAAAATGCAGATAGAACTCTCTTCTAGTATTTAAATCTGCTCAGTCCCCGCGAAGTAAAATGTGGGCTAGGCTCCTATTCAAGCCAACGATATTCTCGGCTCTTGATCACCATTCCAATCCTCCTCAAAGACCTTGGCTACTCCGTCAAAATGAGGGCATTATCACTTTCCCACCTCCTCGTGCTAGCTTCCTGGGCCGCCTTTTCTTTCTGTGCTGTGCTTGTAAAGAACTCTGGCGAGATCGATGACACCTTTAGAGGTGTTTCACAGCCGATGACAAGTCCTCCCGAGAAACGCTCAGTTCTTGTCGAGGATAGCCTGAAATACGATGGAGCCAAGGGGAATGATTGGGTAGCCCCTCCAAGGTAAAATCAGACCAAACATCGAACACAAATTACTTCAGTATCTGACACTTCACGGAAAAGCGTCATGTATCAAATTCAGAAAGATTCTGTCACAGAAGATCTGGCTTCACGAAACGACGATGATGATGAATTTGCTCCGACGGAAACAAACCTCTATGCTCTCTGTATGGAGCTTTGCAGGCAAGATTATTCTCAGGGCGGTTTTGTCCATTGGGACTTGTAAGTCTTAACGTCCTTCTGGCGCGGTTCGGCTCATGATACAAGTACGTCTACAAATGTTGACTTGAATCAAAACAGCTGTATCAAAAGGTGCAACATGAGCTTTCATCAGGACAGAAGTCATGATCTGAACATGAACTATATACGGCGATATGGGATTGCTAGATTCGCATCTCTGGCTGCGATCAGACCGCTTATGGCGGCAGCGAAAAATTGGTGAAGAAATCGTGGTTTACCAGTCGTTGCTGCCTTCGCTGACGCTTCGAATATGGTACTCAGATTCGATTTGAGTAATTACGAAGATGGCTAGCCGGCTTTCATCCAAAAGAGTTCCTTCCAAATCTTCAATTCCACGCTATTTGATTCTAGCTTCACCCACTCAACGGGTCGCGACTAAGATTGTTTGCCAGCAATGTGTGTGTCGGTACCGGCGCGTGATAGCTTCCCTCTCTGGCCAAAGCACTGCGCCATGCTTCCGTGAGAGCAATTCAAGCACAATCGTCTCGAAGTCATCCCATCGTTCCGTGATATGCGTGACCTTTGCCCTGACTTTTTTCTGGTCATCCTTATTGACAGTGTCCTTCACAATCTGACGTAGACGACTGATTTGCTCCTTATCGCCAGTCATAAACTCCAGCCGAGCTATGGCGAGTGAGAGGGCTGTATCACCTGCCTCGATCTTGTCTACTGTTGCATTGCGAGTAGAGCTTTCCGCGTCGTAGAATCTCGGGCATCTCTTTGACATTCTGAAGAGTGCCTTTCCACCCTCTGACAGAGGCCCCGCACCAGCGACAGCCTGGAAACGCAGCGCACCACCGTGAATGAGGATCTTGACAGCAGCAATGTCGCCTAGGAGTGAGGCCACCATGAGCGGTGATACGCCATCAGGTGTCACCTTGTTCGGGTCAACACCAACCTTAAGCAGCTTTGCAACTGTATCCCCCACTGCCAGATGAAGAGGCGTTGCCCCATTAACACCCGCAAGTGTTGGATCCGCCCCTTGGTCTAAGAGTCGTACCATCAACTCAAGATTGCCCGTCATGGCAGTGATCATCAGCGGGGTTTCACCGTCACCGTTGGGACGGTTCACGTCGGGGTCCTTGGCGAGGATGTTATCGAGAGCATCTGAGATGTCTGGATAGTCTTTGCTAATCGGATCGCAGTAGACCCTGCACGCAAATTGGAACGCTGTTTCTTTCTTTGGACCGTATTGGCGGGATGATCGATGGGGATTTCCGTGCCACATTGCATCAAAAAGCCGCAAATCACGTAAACCCATGGCTAAAAAGAATGGAGGAAGGCCGTTGTCTGGCGTCGCGATGATGTCAGCCCCCATTTGGGTCAGTATTACAGCTAGATGCCTGAACTTCTTTTGAAGACACAGCTGCAAGGGGCTGGAGATGCCCTGAAGACGGGCGCCGTCTGGATCTGCTCCTCGGTCTTTGAGCAGTGTTTCTGCAAGGTCCTCAAATCCATGCTTGATAGCGGTATGTAAAATGGTGGAACCATTGCTAAGGGTAGTATCAATGCTGGGAAGATAGTGCGCAAGAAGTAGCGCAGATTTGATGCATCTGTCCCTTTCCGCTTCCTCTTGACTTTCTTGTTGAAGGAAAAGTAGAACTCTTGGTATCCCATGTCGGGCGATGGTACCGAGAGCCATTTCGACGGCAACTGGGTCTTTGAACTGGCAATATTTATCGCCGGTGCCAAAAGGCAGGCATTCCATTTCGACTAAAGAATTGAGCACTGGTACATCGAGACCCATATGTAGTAGGTACGTGGGGACCAGGAGCCCAGCGTCTTCTCCCGATAGGAAGAACTCGTGGCGTAGATAGTGGTGGTGTAGTTCATTTAGTCTTGAGATAATGGGGTAGGCCTCCGCTGTTGCTGTTTCCAGGTCCACTTTATACTGTTTGATCACTGTGAGTGTAATCCGAAGGACTTCCTTGACGACGACGGCGTCGGAGCTACCCAATAGATGTCGGAACAATGGTCCGTGACGGTTGTAGAGGGACCATTTCGTTGCACCGGCCACGGAGCCTGGAGACCAAGGGAGGCTGGATGATGCGGACGATACAGAACCGGACACCAAATTCTCCCAGAGTGAATAAATCAATGGGTCGATAGCCTCGGAGAAACACTTGGTAAGTCTGAGCCAGTGTTTGCTGGCATAAGGGAGGAACAGATGGATGTCGTCTTGGATTTCTGATCGATACTGGTGTAGGTCATAGTTCAATCGCTCTAGATCTACGTTGGAAGCTCTAGCTCGCCTGTCGAGGGACATAAGGGAAATGAGTCTTCTTGTCAGGGCATTTGGACTTAAGATCGAGTTTGCCACAGTACCAGGAATCTTGTCAAACGAAACATTCTGGGCATGTGACATGCTATTCTCAAATACCCCATAGTTGAGATAAGTGACACAGATGGCACCGAGTTCAAACTCTGCTTGATGCAGATGAAAGTGGTAAGGAGAAGCTGCAGGCAACGCCGGGGCTTGAACGAGGTGTAACAGGACACTGTGATGAATGAACCTGATACATGAGTCCTCCTCGTCAATCTCCAATAGACTGCCACCATATGTCGAGGCCAAAGTGAATCCGGAGGGATGCAGAGTTGAAGAACTCCAGATCGAGGATCCGGGTTGGACGTTCAGAGCCACACGAAGCTCATCCAGTGAAAGACATGGGTCTGCTGACGCGATAAGCTGGAAAACTCGCGATCCGTACTTCATGTCCGGGATTCTTAAAATTGCTTGATCAAACGCCTGTGGAAGATTTCGGGGAAGATTGTTGATGATGTCGAGAATTTCAGACTCAGAACGAAGTTCTCGAGTGTACTTGGGGCAAATGGCCTCAATCTGCAGTGAGAGCCACAGAAACATGCCCTGAGAACGTACTAGTAGCTGTTCCTTGACTAGCTGTTCAAGCCTGCTTGATATTGGCCTGATGAGCTTCCAGTTTTCGACCTCGGCCGATATGTAACTTTCCAGGTCTTCGGATCTGTCGACACTTTCGAAAGAAATAGTTTGGGTGATGCCAATTGACGATGCTGCAACGGATTTGCATCCAGATGTGGGTCGGGAAGAGCAACACAGTTTGACTCGTCTGAATTGCATAAGTCGATGAAGTTGACCGAGAACTGATTCCACCTCTTCCAGAGGAGCTTCGTCCAAGCCATCCAGGACCAGTACACATTGCCAGACTGGTGGTGTTATGGAGAGCAAGAGGTCAATACAAAACTCGGCATGGAATACTTGATGCTTCATTTCGTGTTCGTCTAAAAAGTTGTCCAGGAATCGGGCCAGAGACGAATTTCTCAAAACTTGATGTACAATGCTGCCGAGGATATTGTGGTCTTGCAAGGTTGTTTGATTGCTGTTTTTGCAAAAGAAAAATGCTACAGATTGGAGTCTCCTTGGATCTGTCGTAGCTAGAGCTTTGTGGCTGGTCAGCTTCTTCGAGAATAAGATATTGACAGTTCAATCGGACCAAACCATGTGAAGAGACCGTGAGATGTAAACGACAAGGAAAGTGGCTGACTGACTCTCAGCAGGATTTTTATGTGCGATCAAACAATCTGCCACCACGGAGGCCATGGTGACAGTCTTTCCAGACCCCAAATTACCCTGCAGCCACAACGTTGCTGAAGTCTTTGTGCCCAGCCACTCTTGGTAGCTCTTGTCGTTTAGGATCCAACTAGAGGTCCCTTTCTTTCGCTCCCTCGTCCAAATAGACTCGAACTCCTTCTGATTGGGAGCCAAGGCTTCAAAAAGTCGATGCGCACGCGTTTCCCGGTCCCGATGAGCGGCATCGCGGGAAATCATAACCTGGAACCGGCTGAATCTCTCAATAGAAGATGAGTTGCTTTCAACATTGGCCTTTGCAACGAGTACTGCTACGCGATTTTCAATCAACTGACCCCATGATAGCAAGTCGTCTTCCAGTGGTTTGAAGACCGAGTCGAAGGTGGAAGTGAAAGACGTTGCGAGGTGAGACGCAAATGATTTATGGGCGTCGATGGTGATCTTTTTGCATATTCTGATGAAAACAATGACATACTCGCACATGTACGCCTGAGTCTGACGACAGGTGGGAAATAGCAAGGCGAAATCCTTGTGGAGAGAAGACGATTTACCAATCCTCATCAGAAGAGTTGAAACTTTGTCGAAATATGACAGGAAGCTCAGTGACATCTATAGCTCTCGTCAGCTATCCTAAGTATCGGAATGACAACTTGCAACGACTTAGTTCAAAAAAAGGCTTGACGGACATACCTCCAGAGTCATCCTGACCGTGGCCCAAACCCCAGACGCCAAGAGGTTTTGGGCGCCTCCAACAAGGACGTCGCCAATAGGGGCAAATTGACGAATTCTCTCCAGAACAGTGACGAGACGGGTGGCGTTGGGCCTCCAAGACCGGTGACGGTGAGCCCCATCTCGATTGATCTCTTCTGTTAATTGCAAAACCTCCATGGCGGTTGGTGGACTTCTTGTCTGCAAGTTCTTGAAGCGGATGTGAGAGTCATCTTGATGGCGCTTGAGAGAAACGCTGAATTCTGAAATGGTTTGAGCCAGACGAATCTCAGGTTTCAGTTTCCCCACGGTTGCTACCGCTGTAGAAATGTTCTCCATTCTGCAATTTTTGGACTGGTTAGGAGTATTGATCTGGAACTGGTAGAGAGACTGAAGCTTCCAAGGAGGGAGAATGGCGGTTCAACGTTGACTGCAAATGCCCTGAAGGAGCTTGGAAGTTGGACAAAAGTAAGCAACACGGATGGTCCCTGGTCTCGTGGTGAGCTCGTCAGACCGAGCCGTAGGACTGCTTAGGTGGCAGTGCCTCAATGTGACCGCTGTGTAACTGCATCGGGGCCTTCATTTCAACTCATTGGCTATTCGAAATATCGACCAGTGAGCTTTGAAGGATGCATGCAGCTCATAAGGCAGCGGGCGCAAGGGGTGGCTAGGCATCCATGGATTCTGAGACGTCGTGTTGGTCTCCGAAATCACGATTGATCAATCCGGCCAAGGCGGCTTGGCTCCCAAGCATTGGCAATATCATTCGTCTTGGAGTAGAGAGTGGTCGTCAACTTTCCGAACGAGGTATATGATGAGATTGACAAGGGGACGAGAGACGCCCCAGATCAGGCTGGGCTGACAAAAAACCATGGAACAAATCATGCGCCAATAAACACCGCATGCTATGCATATAGATAGCTCTTGAGTCCGTAAATCTTGAGTGCACTCTTGGCACTATTCTGAATCGTCACTGTTGCTTTTCTCCACCCAATTTTGAGCCCTCGATGCAAATTTGGAAATACCCAGGACCAAAACGCCGGCGAGGAGTGCAGAGGTTGCGGCTTAGGTGAGGTCAATATGCGAGCGAAAGAATAAGAGTCATCTCAAAAGACTTACTGATGGTGAAAGACCAGCCGACCCCAATGGCGTCGATCATTGGCACCAAACCGCCCACGCTGCCAGCTCCGAAACTGTACTGAACGATGTATTTACTACTGATGACAGCTGTCCTGCGTTCCGGCATTGCCTCTGATGCAATGTATTAGTCCAGGTCGAACCGTCGAAGACGCAACAAGATGGCAGGGAAGGCTCACCGGCGGAGTATGTGTTCAGACCGCTAAAAGACCACATGAGGCCGAGACCCTCAAAGAAGCAGCTGACGATGGGCAAAGCGATTCCGCCGACTTCCTTTTGCACGCTCCACCCGTAAACCAGAGTACCGGCAGGGAGAACGAAGAAAATTGCTGGCAAGCTGCTCTTGAGTCTATCCTGGGGCAAACGGAGACCATTACGCTTCCGGATGTATCGCTTAACGGTGTGGTCTGAGACTCTGCCGCCGATCGTGCTTCCCATTAGAAAGCCCGCTCCGGGGGCAAGATAGAAAAGTCCACTGATAAGAGGCGTAGTAAGGCCGAATCGAGGGTTGATGACTCGTCGTATGGAACTCAAAAGGCCGTACTGGTTGAATCCCAGGAGTCCACAGGCGAAATTCTGCGAGATGGATCAGATTACGAGCTAGAATCGGGTTGGGGGAAGAGCAACTCACCGCCGCAACGATGTTGGGATACTTGAACTGGCGGAGAACGCCCATCGGATTGAACGCGTGGCCCAAGTCGCCCAAAGACCGAATAGGAGTTCTCTCTGCGACGGCGATCTTGAGATGCGCCAGCTGGCTCGCTTTTGGCACGAAGAAGAAGGCCATGATGAGACCGAGAAAGGTCATGCCAGCCTGGACCCCATAGATGACTCGCCAACTGGTGAAGGTCACGATGACGGCTCCCGTCAACGGCGCTGAAAGCTCGTCAGTCGAAAGACTCTTGGGCACAATGATGGAGTAAGGTAGTCAAACATCGTACCAATTGCGTTTGCCGCCACACAGCTGCCCAAGAAACAACCCACTGCAGTTCCGCGAGTTGTCTAAACAGTAGTCAGGCTCAATATGATAAACATAAGTGGCACAATATCTGACTTACAGGCTCAAAGATATCTGCCAAGATGGTTTGCCCTGCAACTAGGAAGAATGGACCAGTTGTTCCTCCGATGACCCAAATCGCTGTGAAGCAGGCAAAGCTATTTGAGAGCGCCGATCCTATCGAACACAAGGTCAAAAGGCAGTTGGCTACGAGATAAGTCGTTCTGCGACCAAGGATATTACTCGTCGGTAGCCATATCAAGGCAGACATAGCCATGGCAATGAAGACGCCAGCATTAGCTGTGGTAATGGCATGCGTTGAGACGTTGAAGTCGGCAGCAACCTCGGAAGTCGCTGTCAAGATGGAGCTACCAGAGAAGGTGACGGGCAGGGCCATCCAGCAAACCACCGCAAGCGTTACCCATTTCTTCCATGTTGGCATCTCCATCACCTCGTCATCTGCTGCAGCCACGGGTCGAAGAGGGGCTGCCGCCGCCGGAATGGGGCCGGTAAGCGGATCGGGGCTTAGTTGAGGGATCTTGACAGCAGCGGTCAAGCCGTCCGGCTTTTCGACATCTGGGGAACCCATTGCGAGGAAATCACATTAAAGAATGGAAAGTAAGCTGATCTCTAAGCTAAAGTATCGTCAGAGGATGAATACTGCCTCGGGGAGTCCTCCGAATGTATATAGTCGGGAACTCCTGCAGCTCTCCGCCGGTCGGACACGCCTTCGGCAGGCGAATTTTCTTCCATTTTTTCACTACACCTTCTCTGACTCAAATATTTCATAAAGTGGGCCTCGTAAGGCGACGTGATGCACGCATAGGCGACGTGATCAAGACCAGCCCGGACTTGTGACGGAAATGCGAGTGAAATAGGGCGCCAGTGGTTGGTTGCTTGGTCTGAGGAGTCGGCAATATGACATGAAGCCGACTAGAGATGGTTAAGCCCCTGGACTGTTTGTGGGGTAAAGATCGTGACATAAGGCTCGGCCAAATCCACATTACGCCGATAATGTGGAGAAATCACAGTATTTTATCGGCATATTGCGCGATTTATGCCGAACTATCTCGGCTGGGCTAAAGCTTTCTCCCCCAAACGTCTAGCTGTGACAACAAAGAAACCTTTACCAAACTAGTGCTGATGACTAGGTATCACGCAGCGGTAGTATTCTAGGAATACGTCACAAGCCGCAGCAACTTTGAAAGGTGAAGGGGTATCTTCAAATATCCCTTGAGACTCTCGGTATCCCTACACGTTTCCCGAAAGCATTCAATCGGACCTCACGAGGGCAATATCCTAATCAGCCATATCGATTGACCACCATGACATCGGAAGGCGACGCGTCCAGTGCGGAGGATAGGGTCGCTTTGAGATCCGCTCCGGTATCCTCATCGGCTTCCTCCCGACCAAAGACCAAACCTACCGCGTGAGTATTACAACTTGTCGCGCCGCAAAGCTGCGGAAGGTTTCCAGATGGTTAACAACGGCGATTCCGCCATAATAGTTGCCGTAGGTGTCACTCGCGCAAAGTGAGGTGTTCCGGCGGGCAACCATGTGAGAATTGTCGCCAAGCAAGCAAGGGTGTGGAATGCACATATCCTCGGCGGAACCGCATGGTAAAAGTTAGCCAGCGGTATGTTAGAACCAGAGATATTCATACCTCGGACCCGCGATTCCAAGAGCGACTGGTGTATCGAACTAACTCGATTTCCCATAGTTATATCGATGACCTTATTGCTGAAAACCAACGATTGAAGAGCAACAGCGGCATTGGAAGTCAATCTCGAGCAGCCAACCTGCTCCCAGATCTCGCAGTCGTTGCCCCGGTAAAAGAGACAACAGATACTAATGCAACTGCCATCCCAGCGCCATCGCTTGATGAACGACCATGGTTCTTCGACATGAATATTCCACACACGCCGATTCTCATCGGTGAGGCCTCGGACGCCGCATTCGCTACCCGCTTCCGCCAAGCAATCTCATCAGCTGAGAGTAGTCACATCCCGCGGGTGAACTATGCCACAGATGAGAGGCTGCTCGCTCTATCTGATACAGACTGCCCTTGGCCTAGTCCGGCAAGAGCACGTTTTCTCGTCGGGGTTGCCCTGAGATATGTCAGCCGTTGCTACCACATCATTCGCAAGAGCTCGATTCTGGATGCCTTGGAACAGACCCTCCAGAACCCGGCTGAAAGTGATTCGCTTCTTAAGAGTAAGCTTTGGGCGATGTTTGCTATCGGCGCCATGTACTCGACTCGATCTGCCACGTCGGAAAAGCACTTCCCCGGCATGGGCTACTTTGCACGGGCAACTCGCATCCTCCGCATCGTCAGCGAACGACCGAGGATCGATGTTGTCGAGTTGAGATTGTTGCTGGTAAGATGGCTTTGATAAATAAATGTTTTCGATCGCCTCTGAAGTTTTGACAGTCTTTCTACTCTCTTGCGCTCAACCGGCGACATACCGCCTACACTTTTGCCGGCTCCGCGACCAGGCTCGCTGTTGTCATGGGCCTTCATCTCAATGTTCCTGAGACGCAGCTCAGAGATGCAGCCGCTCGAGAGCATAGGGTCAGAGTTTGGTGGACAGCATACATCTTCGACAGGATGTGGGCAGCCAAGTTAAGCCACCCAGTAGCCGTCCAAGACATCGATATCGAGGTGGACCTGCCATCGAATCCGGTTGTCGACGATAATATAGCGGATGACTTTGCCGATGCATCATATTTTGTTGCTAGCGTAAAGCTCGCTGGCCTACTGGGAAAGGTTGTGCCATCCATCTATCGAAGAAGGCTGCAAGACACTTCCTTATCCCATAGAGTTCAAGAGGCGTTGAAGGATCTTCGTGGGTGGTCTGCAGAGCTCCCTCCACAGCTTCACATTGACTCGAAGCCTACATCGGAACGCATGCCAAAGCCCATCTCGCTACATCTCAACTTTAATCAGGCAAGCAATGAAGCGCGACTACCAGACGGGGTGTGGACGAAGCTAATTTTGATTCAAGTGCGCTATCAGCACCACCCGTCCGATTCTGCTCCATGTGCTGCGAACGCATGTCGCATCTTGGGGAACACCAGAGACCCCAGAACCACGAGTTCCGGCCACCGCCATGACTCTCGCAGAAACTTGCATACGTTGCGCTCGTCACACCTGCCGACTGCTGACAGAATGCTGGATCGACGGGTCTTTTGCAACGTTTGACTACTTCTACACGCAGTATCTCTTCTCAGCCGCCACCATCCTCGCTGCATCTAGCCTTCTGAGCGGCAAAGAGAGTCACAATGACAGAGAACAATTTGAAGAAGCAGCTCAGTTCTTGTCTCAGCTGAAAGATAATGGCAACTATGCAGCTGAGGAGTTCTGCCATCATATCGACGCTATGAAGCTTACAATGGCCGCAGCTCACGTGCGCCGTGGTGATTTCGCCGGGGCGGGAGACTCGGCGGCTTTGCTGAACGACACAACAGCGGCTTTCACGGATGCTGCAGTCAACCTCAACCAACCTTTCGCAGAGCAAAACACAACCGCTGGTATGGCGCTTAACGAGCCGTCGTTACAGGAGCTCCTGGCCCAGCCACTCCTCGACTTGCAGTTTATAGATGCGTCGATCTACAATGATGGGGCTCAGGGACTTTATTGGCCAGATTTCAGCCCGGAATCATGGACGCCTGAGACGTGGACTGCAACTTGAGTACCAACCAGATGACTACCAAGCACGCGGATATACACTTGACATGCAGAGATTGGGCAACAAGAAACAACGATTGGGGTTTCAAGCTACTAATATCATTCTACACAGAGGCTGTGGGTACTTGTTGACCCAGCCGTTTTTGGTACATCTCATCCCAGATTGGCCCATCGTCGAGTGCGTATCACCAAAACTTGGATGGAATTGCCAGTCTTCCAGCCGCATTCGGCGTCGCACTAGCAGAAGCCGAAGAGCCCGAAGCACCTAATGCCGTGCTGGCTTGGGAGCCAGTAGCGGCCGTAGTCGCTTGGTTCGTCGTCGTGACCGTAACCACGTCGGTCGTCGCGGCTGTGGCAGACACGCTTACACTACCAGTGCATGCCTCCTCGCCAGAGACAATGGTGTAGCTGGTGCTGCAGCCCACCCTAGGGCAGGCACTCTTGTCGCAACCAAATGTGAAGGTCTCTGTTGCCGCTGCACTGGGGCAGCCGCATGACTGCGTCAGAGTCGACACGGTCACGCATTGCGGTGCCTCCCCGGTGCAACTAGGACACAGTGATAGCTCTGTTGCCGTGGGACACCCATCTTCCACCACGGTAGGAAGCGGCACCGGAGTAGGCAGAGGAGTCAATGAATCAGTTGGTAGGATCGAGTAAAGAAACGACTCTGAGCTTGTCTGGGCCACAATCGGTGCCGCGCTACCAATGTTAGCAATAAGTCTCTGTGCCAACGGTTGACAGATTCATACACGAAAAAGAGCGTTGCTACTTGGCTGATCACCTTCATCTTGGTTCTTCTTAACCTTGCCTATCAAAAATGGGTAAGATGTTGTATTATGATGATATCACGGACAGAAACTGAAAGTAATTTGATGAGAGAAGAAGCGAGTCCCACGGTCAGCCCAGCGCGCTCGAGCTCTTATGAAGTCACGAGCCGGTAACACCACCGGCGATCAACTCCTCCTGACAGGACGTCCGTCATTCGTTCATAATCGTCGGTGTACAAACCACCATCCTTTTTCGGCATTGGGGTCTTGGCTTGCAGGGGTGCTATTGCGGAGAGCCCGTATCGACTGGCCACCAACCTCTTTGATTCTACCCTATTGCAGCACCCTTCAAGGAAAAATACGTATTCTCACTGCGGCCAATCCCTCAAAAGCAAGAGTCACACCAGCCGAGACTTAGTCTTTCAAGGCGCTCCTCCTTACGTTTCAGAAGTACGTGGACACATCTAGGGTGCTGATGCCAAGGACTACCAACCCGCGAATCGTTCATTGTCCTCATCACCTTCCTATAGAGGCACGAATGCAGTGGCTCGTGCCCGCGCGGGATATGACGCAGATTTTCAATTGTACTCGCTCGTTCACCTGTGTCAATAGGTATTTACTCAATACCCAAAGGCACATGTACTGGCGCTTGTCAGTGATCTTTCCCTTGGACGAGCATCTCTCAGATCTCTGATGCGTCAGGTTTCTTCGACTGCCAAATCTTTGAGCCTTAAGGGCAAACCCAGCAATGTGCAGCGGATCCATTCGGTTCTTGGCATAGAAGTTATGGTAGGGAAAAGAGAATATGATCGCCACAATCGGCGCCGTATTATACTTGAGAACAAATCCCCAAAAAACCGGAGATCTTCCACTAACCTCCGATGGATATGATGGCATTCAGATCTCGGCGCAGTTCATTACCCTGGAATTGTGTGTGAGAAAGGGAGGGAATGCTTTGGAGGGAATAACCGAACACGGGTACGCACTGGGTAGGATGTCAGATACCAAAAGCTTTTGTAATGAATTTTCTTCAAAAAGGATTTAGCTGTGTAGCCTGGAGGGTCGGAAGAAGACACCACGGAAGAGGTTATGCCGATGATAAACATCCCCAAAGCCAACACCTGCACCGGCTTTGGAGACATCGCATGGGCGATAACGAACCCCACCATAGTGCCTCCAGCGTAGCCAAAGATGTTGTGCAAGCACCAAGGTAGAAGGCCACAAGAATCAACAACGTCGCGGTAGCGGTAGAGCGTAGTAGCACACACTTGGTAAAGAAACGTGGAAGGAGGCAATGGCTACGACGGACGACACGTAAGACCGAGAGAACTCATTGCCCCAGTCTGAATTGTAGACCAAAGTCTGCATGAGTGCAAATGCTGATCTGAGCTCGAGAATGAAGAAGGTGGGGAAAAGAGCACGCCGATAAGCCGTGTAGTCTTGGACTGCGCTACCAATTGCCGTCAAGTTTCAGGCGATGGGGTCCGCATTCTTTCTTTCGAAGAACTCATTATTCCTTCCCATCGGAGTGGGTTGCGGAAAGAGTACTGGAAGTATGTCATTATCCAGGCGATTATTGGAACATAGAAGATAATAATCGCGTAGCCGATATAGACGACGCCGAATCCGACACCCTTAGCACGCTTGTTGGCATGATGCCATGCAAGGGCGCAGCCTCCTCTGTACGCTCACCTGAAGCTGAACTCGGGAGGCAACTTGGTATGGCCAGATAGCGGAGTGGAATAAGGTACCTTAGGAAATGGAAAAATTGGAGGGCGTGATTGTTGAACACGATCGAGGGGAATCGCAAGAGGTTACCGAGACCGATTGCCCCTCCCATAGCGGCGATGATGAGAAGTATTCGAGATTCTCAAACATCACGGCCGTCTTCGCCTTTGTCGGCAGTCGGCTCGAAGAGACTGTAGAGTTTCTTCCTGAAGTTGACCATGTTTACTAGGGATGGTTTGACTTGAGCTGAAGGATGCGGAAGTGGTTTATGGATGCATCGGGGGGACACTCTCAACATGATACCCTCTTATACCCTTAGCCAAGCATTTAAAAAGCCAGTCAGACTTCTTTACGCGTGTAAGCATAGCCCTGCGATAGGTGACTGAATTGGTTGGGATAAGCCGACCAAGGCCCTTGGTCGTCTTGTCCAGGATTACGACCTTCCAAAATCTAACTTGATGATAAAAAACAAGGCTATCACAGGTCACAGATATAAGTCGGGATCAGACGAGACAAAAAGGCCGAGGCGTGGTACTTTCTCGCCAGATCTTGTGAACATAGATTGGGACCCCGTCGGCTTTCCGGGTGTACGCCGACGTTCGCCCAGCTCGATGGCGCCATCATCTATTCTTCTTGGCCAACGACAATTGCCATTGGACTTTCGAAAAGGCTCAACTTCCCCACATCCTGGCAGAAACGCGTCAGGGTTGACGGCCAAGCATTTCCTGACAGCTAAAGGCCCACCATATATTGCCAATGTACATGTCCAAGATCCCTTGTTTGAGCTTCTAAATAGACTCGCGGAAGATCTGATGCTGCACCTGATCGTTCATCTGACAAGCCCCAAGACAACATCCCTATTGGTGCGGCCGAGCCCATGTTGCGGCTTCTCCTTGAAGCGTTACACGTGACAGTTATTCTAAGGTCCCGCTCAGAGTTGGGCTGTCTTGCACATCTTGAACTCGGAAGTGGCTCAAATAACAGAGAAACGGGGATAAGCCGTAGAGGAAAAGTCGCTCAGGAAAGCCGAAGTTTCCCTTCTTCAAAAATGCCGCCGTCTACATATGTAAGTGATATCGTTGTTGAGTCTTTCCTCTTGAAGCTTGCTGCTATAGCCTATTAGCAGAGGGTCGTAATTGGAAACGTAAACGAGCTGAAGCTACCCGAACTGATAAACCTTCTACTACTATCGTGATTTCAAGCTGAGCAAGCTTAATCACTTGCAACAAGTGCGTCACGTCCGTCGGACTCGGCGTGAAACTCCGACCATCTGAAAATTCAGTTGTCAAAGCGTCACATAAGGTAGCGCATTACCCAAGTAGGTTGTCCCGGATGCAGGGCCATAGTGTAAGCTTTGTCGTGCTGACGAATTGATGCCTGTCTTAGTAATGAGCTCATAGTTGCAGTTGCCCGAATAAGTAGGAGTAGCTCTTGGCACATTGTCCGAAGCATCTGATCATTCTGACAACGTATTTGGACCTTGAAACCATAAAAGCCAGAATGCTTTCCATCAAGACTTTTCTACCTGCTTGCTTAGTGGTATGTCAATACTAACAGAAATTGTATCACCTCATATTTGCCAGCCTCTCCCCGCTTTGCCGTCAGATTCCAACGATCAGAATGTCGTCCGCCTCTAATCAGCCCGTCAACCTCGTGTTGGGCGTCGCAAACGTAAGCTGACCGACCGAGTGCGAGAGATGTGTGTTACTTTTGGCAAAGCTAATGTTCACAGGTCGGAGACTCATCTGCTGATCCCATGGCACGCTACGACACACCCGACCAAGTGAACGCATTCCTGGACGTCTTCGCTCGACGCGGGTACAAGCAGCTTGATACCTCGCGCATGTACTCACCCCAGGCACCCACAAGCTCGGAGCCCAGACTCGGCGCCGCCAATGCCGGCGAGCGCTTCACCATCGACACCAAGGTCACGTCCAGATCGCCGGGATGTCACACTAAGGACAAAATTTTGAAGGAGATTGACGAATCTCTCAAAGCTCTGAAAATCAAGCAGATCAACATTGAGTATCTACACGTGCCCGACCGAACGACACCATTCGAAGAAGCATGTGAGACCATGAACCAGGCGATTGGGGAGGGCAAGATCAAAAAATGGGGTATCTCAAACTACTCCGCTGCAGAGGTTCAGCGGTTTGTCGACATCTGCCAGGAACGCGGCCTCGTCAAACCCAGTGTGTACCAGGGCCACTACAATCCGCTCGTGCGAGGCGGAGAGAACGATTTGTTTCCCGTATTGCGCAAGAATGGTATCGCCTTCTACGGATACAGCCCCGCCGCAGCTGGGTTTTTTGCCGGCAATCATAAGATGGTTAAAGCGGGTGGGCGATATGATACATCGGTAAGACTTTTCTACTCGTGTCTATTAAAATACGAGAGACTGACCAAGTGTTCTGTGACATCCAAGATTCCTGTGGGTAGCATATATGCAAAATTCTATGTCAAAGAATCCATCATGACGGCGACGGAGAAGGCAATTGATGTCGCATCTAAGCACGGAATCGGCGGCCATGCTGCGGCACTTCGGTGGACGGTATATCACAGCATCCTCAGCAAGGAATACGAAGACTCGGTAATCATTGGAGCCTCGAGCCCGGAGCAGCTGGAGACCAATCTCGACATGATCGAACAAGGACCGCTTCCAGAGGATGTGGTGTCTGCTCTCGAGGAGTTGCACGAGCAGATTGTCGACAAAATCCCGTACCACATGTAGTCTACGATGCTCTAAAGCATTGAGGTAGCTTCTTCCGGACTAGCATCAACGGCTAAGCTCAATGGAGTAGGAGTAGACCTTGGCAATGCTGACTGCATATATCAAAGCCGTCAACATCACCGCTGACAAATGGTATCGCTTATTCGAAGTTGCCTATTGAGTGTTGTACGACAGTTATATCTTGTTCTTTTTACGATAATATCGAATTGATTAAGAAGAAATATCCTCGAAGAAAATGATTTCGCTGTAAAAGACTTTATTTGACATATGTTACGCTTGCCAGCATGGAGTTCATCGTCATAGTACATCCTGACCAGAGAAGGTCCGCCCGCTTGAAGAAACAGGCTCACGCTCACGCAGCACGAGTGACCCATGCACGGTTAAGGAAACGTCAGGTGGCCCGCCATGGCAATCAAGACCCGGACATCCAAGTTAAAAGTCGTGGTCGATCGATTTTATTGAGGTCTCGAGAGGAAGAAAGAGTGAGCCGTCCACAACAAGACGTCGTGGAATTACAGCATCTGGTTGAGCCTTCGATACCAAGCACAATACCTGGCGCGT